TAACGAATGACAAATTTGGTCGTTTAGATTTTTGAAATTACGAGTCTAACTTTCAGGTGTGACTCGATAACCCTACAGCTTAGGTTTGTCTGGGCCCTAGCTGTATCTATATGTCTGGCGTGGCCTAGAGACATTTCAAAGATTCCCTACACAATAACTTCAAATATCTAGCGTGACTAAACATGGAATTGGAGTATATTGCACATATAAAAATTAATTTTGGAAAGACACATTTTGGCATTAATATACTGGCTTTGATTAAACATACCTGGTTGCACTTATCAACAGTCACACATCATATATCCTGGATTGAGTCCATGTAAGTAAACACAAATTAGTAAGTCCCAATGAGATATCTTGTACACAGTGTCCATCTTGTAGGTGTCCGTGAGGCGGTTTCTGTATGATCTGCATCATGATGGCTGTGGTCAGGATCACTGCGGGATAGGCGTTTATACTTCCTTGGTCCTGTGTATGAACGAAATCTTGAGAGATTCGGAGAGATTCCTGTTGTTTTCTTCAATCTTGTTTCTTCATGGCTCGAGTTGATGATTGTTCTTCAGGGTGGTAGGCATACAGAGAGGTTACTGAATCGGGAGTAAACTCAAGCGTTACTCCAGCCGGATTCTAACACCAGTTGACAACGTGCATGTTGACGGGGAATTAGCTCTTGGGGGAATAAAGGACAAAATCGACATCACTGTCCCGGAACGCTTTATGCACAACATGTAAACAATAAACAACAATTGCACAATGAGCGGAATACCTGCTCTGACAACACAAACACAGCGATGAGCTCCAGCTCACCTCAGGGCGTTTCCTACGAGCAGCATATCCTGCTCGAGGTCGTCCCAATGCCAGCACTCGGAATACCAAGCCTGACTAACACCGTAGTAACTGTGTAATGGTAGCACATATATAGTAATGAACAACAATGGACAGACAAAGAGACAACGACGTTGCTTTGGACATATGGGCGTGATTAACAAACACAGTTCATGGGATGATCAATTAGGGCAATAAATGCCATACTATAAAAAGCAGAAGTTAAAGGGAAGTGATATGGTAGTCCAAGCTGACAGACAGTCAAAATACAATGAAATGTTGGTGAGGATTAACAACGGGGATTAGCGCCTAAAACGTAATGACAATTAAGTTATGGAGACATGGCTACAGGGTAAATTGCCCTTGAAGTCAAATGTACTGCAGACAATGGTAGTCATAAATCAGTCGCTATGACATCATTAAACAATATGTCATGTGTCTAACCATCGATCCGGGTAGTCATCTGGGTACCCGGATCCTACACAGTACCCACCCGGCCCGAGTACCTGAGTTACTCAACCCAGCCCTACTCATTTATACAAACTTGTAGTTTTGTCTTCTAGCGATTCCGGATTATGTAATTTTTATCTTGTGTGTTTTAACTATTCAGACTCTTCAACTCGTATTATTACATATGTTACTTGTAAGGATGATTGTCAATTTTATTCTGAATAATGTTGTTTCCTTGCTGTAAGAGGGGGCACGGTGGTTAAACTGGAATACTGTTAAAAGCGGCGTTAAACACAACACACTCACTCGCTCATTCCTTGCTGTAGGACATTACTTGTTGAAGTATGAGTGAGTGAGTGAGTATGGTTTTACGCCGCTTTTAGCAATATTCCAGCAATATCACGGCGGGGAACGCCAGCAATGGGCTTCATACATTGTACCAATGATGGGATTCAAACCTGGGTCTTCGGTGTGTCAAGTGAGCGCTTTAACCACTAGGCTACCCGACCTATGTAAGTAGTCCAGTGAACATGGTGTAGATAGTTCCTGTGGTCCTCCCCCCCCCCCCCCCCCCCCCCCCCAACCTTGGGGTGACTAGAACGTGGATTGTGGGGTCACAATGGCTGAGACGGGTGGCCACTAGGGAAGATTAGCTCTCAGCTGTCGCCTGCTTGGTCTACTGCCACTCCATGTTTGATGCTCACACTACCAGCCAATGGTTTGCTTGCTCCGGGACATATGCATAATGCACATGAAGGACCATTAGCTTATATTTAGGGAGACCTTGAAATTTGTTTGAGCGATTTTATGTTTCATCATAATATAATGCTTGCAATTCTTATCACTGATTAGCATGATCAAATGTGAAAAACATATTTTGAAATTTTAATACATTCAGAAACATGGGAGTTTAAGTTTTGATCAGAAACATTGAAATTACAGTACTTAATTTTCTCTTTCATGCTAAAAAGGTCACAAGTAATTGGAAGAAAACACAAATAGCCAATTGTTCAGTGAATCAAATATAAGCATAGTTGCTTATTTCTTGACCAGTACTTATTACAATTATATGAATCATTATTACATAAATCTGACTTGCGAAGATCCGGAGTAGAGTAGATCTTAAGCAACCCATGCTTGCTATAAAAGGCAAATAAGCTTGTTGTAAGAGGCGACTAACAGGATTGGGTGGTCAGGCTCGCTGACCTGGTTGATGCATGTTATCGTATTCCAATTGCGTATATCGATGCTCATGATATCAATCACTAGATTGTCTGGTCCAGACTCCATTATTTACAGACCGCCATCATATAGCTGCAATATTGCTGAGTGCGGCGTTAAACAACAAACAAAGAAACAAACATAAATCAGTAATCCTAACAGCTCTTAAGCCATCTATTACCTTACATTATCAAATTTTCAAAGTGACAATTACAAGATTGCATCTGCATATTTTACAGTTCTATGTCATATAGCTTCTTATGTACATATATATATATTAACTACTGAATAATAATGTGTGTATCTTATGTATATATAATGTATATAAACAAGAATGTATCTACTGCTGCAAACCTATTTAATTACCCCTTGAAATACCCGGGAATATATTGAGATATATATTGATGATGGTAAATTAATGTGGTGATACTTGTTTGTTACAGAAACATGTTTTTAATCTTCTTTTAGAAAAAGTACATTGATGCCAAATTGTCTTTTCACATTTAATGAATGTATGACTCTGCAGTTAATATGAAGAATATTTTTGAGGCTCATAACATTCATATATGTCTTATGTGATGGCTTGAAGTATCACTGCGCGAAACTTTGAGCCCTTCCTCCATTAACTTGAGCTACAGTGTCTTGGTGCTGTGTTTTATTGAAGGAACATATCATGGTCTTGTCATTTCTGTTGTTGAGCTTTGTCTAGTGAACAGTGCAGATTATCAGTAGACATTTTTGGAAAATACCACCATAGCGATTCTGGGTAGAATTGTTCCCCAGCAGCCCATATGTCTTAAGAGACAACTTAATGGAACGGTTGGCCATTGCATGCCCACATGGCATGTATCATTGCTCATAATATCAATCATTTGTTTTTCTGGTCTATACTGGATTGTTTACTGGCCACGGCCATATTGCTGGAAAATGTTTGAGTGCAGTGTGAAATTACAAACAGCAATATATATATATGAGTTTATGGTAATCACTACTCTGAGAACAAAGAATCTCAATTCATTTTCTTGTTTATTCGCTTGTTTGCTATCTAAAGAGTATTAATGGCAGCTAAAACAGCCAAGTTCTATTTAGCTCACTGAACCATAGGTTCTTGGTTTTTACATCATTTTACACAGATTTGCGATTTTTGCAGTAAGATTTTTTATTTCCCCTGGAATGAGTTTTCCCTCTGTTAGCACTTGACATGGATGTTCGTGGATTCATTTTTGAAATTTTATGGTATGAAAACAAATCATATAGGAAAAATATTGCCGAAACTTTGTGTAGAATGATTTAGTTTTGCCGTCTTAAGGATTATTAACACATATGTGACCTGTCAGGAGTTACAAAAGGACCTTACGGGTGCCAGGATACAAAAAAAGACAAAAAAGCATTTCAGCATACATGTCTACTTTCAATTAATCAGACATAAACAGTAATAAGCCAGAAAATGGGAATTTGCAGAAAATGAGTCCAAATATTTGATGCCATGTCATGTAATAAAATATGAGCTGAAGCTTATCAAATGTATTTTTGTGGTCCTAAGATACTGTAAAATACTAAGATACTAAGATACTATAATAAGAATTCAAAATGTAATTTTTACCCACAAGGTGCCATATCTCATGGTTGGTCACATAAAGCAATTAGCTCCAGTGCACTAGCTAGAGCAAGTGTCCCAAATAGGAATAGTATCCTAAGGGCTAGTAGTATGTCAAACATGTCGTTATTCAGACCAGTAGACTTTCGAGGTTACTTTGTATTATAGAAGGGCGCGATAGGGAAGCTAGTCGTCTCGCCAAAGACCCAGGCTTTGATGACCTAGATGGGTACAATGTGTGAAGCCCATTTCTGGGGTTCTCTGCAGTGATATTGCAAAAATATTGCTAAAAGAGGTGTAAGACCATGATTAAATTCATGTTTTTTTAAATAATTCAAAGCAACATTTTTTGTGCAGGCTTGCAACCCAACAGTCAACTTTGACAGTTTAAGCAAATGGTTTGTTTTCATGGAACTTACTGCATCCCATGCACTGAAACCTGATGTGACATGTCTCTCATGTTCTTCTGTTTCTCAGGTCATAGGAAGACATGACAACTGTAAAATTGAACAATTGTTACTTAACCTTATGACAGTGGGCACGGGTGGCCCAGTCATCTTAGGCGCCGCGATTCGCTCTGTAGAGTCGCGTCCCTTGGGCACGCCAGAACCTATGATTGTGGGTTCGAATCCCGGTTCGCCCAGATTATGTTTCTAGGTTTGTCAGCACCATACCCATGCTGGTGAGTTTCACCGAAGTGGTAGACGTCATCAGATCAGCATCACTTCGGGCTTTCCTCCCATATTAAGCTGACACGCCATGATATAACTGGAATACTGTTAGAAGCGGCGTCAAACCCAACTCACTCACTCACTCACTCACTCACTAACCTTATGACACATGTGATTCAGTGAACAAACCTGTACATTTAACAGATAACTGAAACTTGATGTTTCCCTTCCTGCAGATCTGGGACGGGAGCTGAGACGCAATGCTGGGATCGCGCTCTATGTCCAACAGTTTAGGGCCATGTTCGTCAAGCGCTTTCTACACACATTCAGGAACAAACTCGTCACAGCGTCACAGTTGATTGTGCCTCTGTTTTTCACTGTCATGGCACTTATCGCCCTTAAAACTTTCCCAGGGCCCACCGACTCACCAGCGCTCAAGCTCACCATTGACCAGTTCAAGAAAAACTATGTGCCCTATGCCACTGCATTGAATCCAGATGAATCTTTAAGCAACCTGGCTGCAGCTTATGTGAATCAGTTTGGGAATTCATCATCGGCCTTGACCTACATAAACAACATTGCAGGATTCAAAAAAGACCCTGGCATCATAAAATACTTGAGCAAGAAAGGCGAAGAAGGAATTGGGAATTATAACATCAGATATGTAATTGCTGCATCATTTGAAGACGGTGCGGAGGCTGGTATAAGCAATGCTACAGCATTCTTCCAGAACCAAGCCTACCACAGCCCAGCCATTGCTCTTGCAACGGTTGCAAGTGCTGTGCTTCAGTACATCACAAATGACTCCTCTTACTCTATGGAGGTGACAAACCATCCTCTCCCACGAACAGACATGAACAGGGTCAATGATGAACTCACGCAAGGTACTGAAGGATTTACCATTGCATTCAATGTCTGCTTCGGAATGGCATTCTTGGCCAGCAGTTTTGTCCTGTTCCTTGTTAAAGAGCGGAGTGTCAAGGCGAAACACATCCAGTTTGTTAGTGGAGTCCACGCCTTCAACTTCTGGGCTGCCACGTTCTGCTGGGACATGTTCAACTATCTTGTTCCTTGTGTTCTTCTCATCGTCAGTTTTGCAGCATTCCAGATTGATGCCTACATCGTGAACTTCCACTGGGCAGGCATACTGCTGCTGTTTGTCATGTACGGATGGGCCATGCTGCCATTTATGTACCTGATGTCGTTCATCTTCTCCGAGCTAGCATCAGCGTACATCTGGATCAGCATATTCAACATACACTCTGGTAAGAAAGATGACCATTTAAAAATTTGTGGTGTGAGATTAAAAATAAATAAAATAATTTTTTCTCCGGCAGTGACTTTTTAAAATATAGTTTTTATGATATTTTTTTTTTTTGCTTGTTCAAACTAGTATGTAACCAAATAAACAGTTGTGTACCATCAACCTGGTAAAGGGCCTCGCAACATAAACAAACATACAAACTCCTATTGCCACCATTACCATAACATGAGATCCACGGTGAAGCAGTGTGCATGCAAAGGGGAGTAACTGTGTGCCATATTGGATCGCATTGTTTTTAATTTATGATTATTTTTTTTATTTTTTGGAAAAATAAGAATAAAAATGAAACATAAGGCTGACTTCATGGTGGTGGAGGTGCTGCCCGAGAACCAAGACTATTATTTTTTTGGCCGAATGGATTGGGGAGGAGAAGGGAAGCAAAGGAGCTAAACGAAAGTTAAAAACTATTCACATCACATTATTGTCCTGGAAATCGAAGGGCCCCCATAATATGAAAAAGTCAATCCATTTTAATAGTCAATTCAGTTCTAATTCAGTAATAAGGGTGTTTATCTACTAGTATACTTGAAAGTCGGCATTACAAATTATCTTTCCCTGATAAACATGTGATGTACCATATTTTCCGTAATAAGCGCCATGGGATTAGAAAATTGAGAAGTAGAGCGATTATTGAAACCATACACAAGTTAAATTTGTTTTCAGAGATTGATCATTAGAGACCGATTGTAAATGAAACCATAACTTTTCCGATAATAGTTATTTGGCAATGATAAGCCTCTTCTACGGGCTTGCATATTTTGTAAAATGATCACTAACATACACAAGAAAATAAGGACTGTCATATAAGTTTTTAGGCTTACTACTGTGCGATTATGAAGATTACTGCAGATTGGTCTAGATTTTGGTCAGGCAGATCTAGTACGTTCTGTGCCTCGTTCAAGGGATAGAAAGTCCTTTTAACGTGGGTTAATCGTGAAGTATGATCTTCACGAGAAGTCTATATCTGGTGTTTCTCCTCCAGGTGTGGTTACAGTTCTGATCGTGGGTATTCTGGCCACCCCCCAGCTGGAGCTCGAGGACACGTCCCGGATCCTGGAGTGGATCTTCATGTCGTTGTTGCCAAACTTCTGCCTCGGGCAGGGCCTGGAGGACTTCTACTCCAACTATGAGTTCCTACAAATATGCCAGAGGTTTAAACCATTTTGCAAATTTGCACCTGCGATGTTTTGCTGTGATGGTAAATACACTATTTTCTTTTCAAAGTATTTTCGAATATTGTTTTGATCTCGCTGTTTTAGTGTTATATAGATCATTAGATAGATTAAGAAAAACAAGCAATTGCAGTCTATTAGTCAGTCAGTCACTCAGCTGTTAGTTCAGTCTGTCAGCTGTTAGTCCAGGCAGTCAACTGTTAGTTCAGTCAATCAGCTGTTAGGTCAGTCACTCAGTCAGCTGATAGTTCAGTCATTAGCTGTTATATAGTTCAGTCATTAGCTGTTGGTTCAGTCACTCAGTCAGCTGTTAGTTCAGTCAGTCAGTTGTTATATAGTTCAGTCATTAGCTGTTGGTTCAGTCAGTCAGTCAGCCATTAGTTCAGTCAGTCAACTGTTAGTTCAGTCACTCAGTCAGCTGTTAGTTCAGTCATTAGCTGTTGGTTCAGTCAGTCAGCTGTTTGTTCAGTCAGTCAACTGTTAGTTCAGTCTGTCAGCTGTTAGGTCAGTCACTCAGTCAGCTGTTAGTTCAGTCAGTCAGCTGTTAATTCAGTCAGTCAGCTGTTATATAGATCAGTCATTAGCTGTGGGTTCAGTCAGTCAGTCAGTCAGTCAGTCAGTCAGCTGTTAATTCAGTCAGTCAGCTGTTAGTTCAGTCAGTCAACTGTTAGTTCAGTCAGTCAGCTGTTCTGTCACTCTTGGCAATGGTAATTTCCCGAACATACCTATTTAATTGGTCTAGATTATTGTTTGTTTCTGGTTGTTTTTTTGTTTGTTTATGATGATACCCTATATACTTGCTTAAGTTTAATTCAATGGACTTCTTGAGGTTCCTACCCAGTGAAGATCTGAGTTAGAGTTTGTCTTCAGCAACCCATACTTGTCGTAAGAGGCAACTAATGGGTTTGGGTGGTCAGGCTCGCCATCTTGGTTGATGCATCCCATCGTTGTCAAATTGCATAGATCAATGCTCATGATGTCAATCATTGACTCTTCTGGCCCAAACTCGATTATTAACAGACTGCCTCATATAGATGGAATATTGCGGAGTGCAGTGTTAAAATCTTTCGGTTCCAGAATGCGTGGACTCTTGCCTGTACAACAACGAGAACTACTTCGGCTGGGCACAGAATGGTATTGGCCGAATGTTAATCTTCCTGGCTATCCAAGGTGTGGTCTACTTCAGCCTTCTATTTGCAATCGAACTCAACCTTTTCAAAAAGCTTTTCTATGCCATTCGCAACCTTGGCTCTGGAAGCAGACGGTCTTCATTCCTCTCCAGACAACTCAGCAACACCGACAGTCGAATACAGGAAGACTCCGATGTCGCAACTGAGCGTGCTCGGTTGGCCAACCAATCCCTACATCAGTTGTTCCAGTCTGACAAGCTGCTTCTGCAGGAAGTAGTGAAGGACTATGACAACAATCGCGCCGTGGATCACATCTCTGTGGGGATTCCTCAAGGCGAGTGTTTTGGCCTTCTTGGTGTGAATGGTGCCGGGAAGACAACAACCTTCAAGATGTTGACGGGGGATGAAATCCTCACTGGCGGCAATGCTTTCCTTGATGGCTTCAGTGTCAAGTCCGATACACAAGAGGTTTGTGTGCGATCTTAATCTGTGAACACATGTTTATGGCCATCATGACTTTGGACGCATGACAGTGTATAAAATACCCCCAAATTTCAGTCAGACAACCTGACTGGCAACTTTGCAAAGTTTCCAGATCAGATAGAATGTTGCCAATCCATAACAAAACGGTAAACATCAAAATACTGCTGTTTAATGTTAGTTCTCTGAAAATAACAATAAACTGGTGGATTATCAACTTAGTAACTTTAACTTTGAAATTTTATTCATCAATAATATGTTTAACGTTTGCAGTTAATTTACCTGTTACCCTGATCTAAAACTAGAAAGCTTAGGTAATTTAGGGAATACAATAATAGCCCAACCATTGATTGGGCATGCAACTTTTCAAAACTTTTCATTTGGTAGCATTTTGGTACATTACAAATGTTTACAAGTCAGTTTGTACATTGTACATTCCAAAAGTAACTCAAGTGCAGAAAGAATTAAATTTAAGGTTCGTAACTTGTTCTTTTCATGCTTGTTCATAGATATTACTCGGGGTACACATATGGGTAGATATTCCCAGTGTTCTTCAACAAATAAAAATACTTCAGATATAATAAAACATTGTACAAGCTTTGGTTCATTTCAGTTCCCATGTCATTCAATTGACTAGTATTAAACATTGCTATCTGACCCATGTCATTATATTGACTAGTATTAAACATTGCTATCTGACCCATGTCATTATATTGACTGGTATTAAACATTGCTATGTGAAACATGTCATTGTATTGGCTAGTATTAAACATTGCTATGTGAAACATGTCATAACATTGACTAGTATTAAACATTGCTAACTGACCAATGTCCTTCAATTGACTAGTATTGAACATTGCTATGTGAAACATGTCATTGTATTGGCTAGTATTAAACATTGCTATCTGACCATATCATTCAATTGACTAGTATTAAACATTGCTATCTGACCATGTCATTATACTGACTAGTATTAAACATTGCTATCTGACCCATGAGATTCAATTGACTAGTATTAAACATTGCTATGTGAAACATGTCACTATATTGGCTAGTATTGAACATTGCTATGTGAAACATGTAATTGTATTGGCTAGTATTAAACATTGCTATGTGAAACATGTCATTACATTGACTAGTATTAAACATTGCTATCTGACCCATGTCATTCAATTGACTAGTATTAAACATTGCTATGTGAAACATGTCACTATATTGGCTAGTATTGAACATTGCTATGTGAAACATGTCATTACATTGACTAGTATTAAACATTGCTATGTGGAACATGTCATTACATTGACTAGTATTAAACATTGCTATCTGACCCATGTCATTACATGGACAAGTATTAAACATTGCTAACTGACCCATGTCATTATACTGACTAGTATTGAACATTGCTATGTGACCCATGTCATTATATTGACTAGTATTAAACATTGCTATCTGACCCATGTCATTCAATTGACTAGTATTAAACATTGCTATCTGACCCATGTCATTCAATTGACTAGTATTAAACATTGCTATCTGACCCATGTCATTAAATTGACTAATTTTAAACATTGCTATTGAAACATGTCATTACATTGACTAGTATTAAACATTGCTATGTGAAACATGTCATTACATTGACTAGTATTAAACATTGCTATCTGACCCATCTCATAACATTGTCTAATATTAAACATAGCTATCTGAAACATGTCATTAATTTGACTACCGGTAGTATTAAACTTTGCTATCCGATCCTTGTAATTATTACGCTAATATAAAACACTGCTATTTGAGACATGTAATCTGACTATAATGAAACATTGCGATCTGACTCATGACAGTGTATTGGCTAGTATAAGACATCAACACTTTCAGGTGCAGCAGCGACTAGGATACTGTCCACAGTTCGATGCACTCATTGGTCAACTGACAGGGCGGGAGACGTTGACCCTGTACGCACGCCTCCGTGGTGTGATGGAGAGGGAGATAGCTGGCACTGTCAACAACCTCATCAACTCTCTGCTCCTCACTGACCATGCTGATAAACTGGTCCAAGCTTACAGGTAGAGCTGGGTAGTTATATGGATAGTCTCTGGCCCAAGCCTACAGGTAGGGCTGGGTAGTAATATGGATAGTCTCTGGCCCAAGCTTACAGGTATGGCTGGGTAGTTATATGGATAGTCTCTGGCCCAAGCTTACAGGTATGGCAGGGTAGTAATATGGATAGTCTCTGGGCCAAGCTTACTTGTATGGCAGGGTAGTAATATGGATAGTCTCTGGCCCAAGCTTACAGGTATGGCAGGGTAGTAATATGGATAGTCTCTGGTCCAAGTGTACAGGTATGGCTGGGTAGTAATATTGATAGACTCTGGCCCAAGCTTACAGGTATGGCAGGGTAGTAATATGGATAGTCTCTGGCCCAAGCTTACAGGTAGGGCTGGGTAGTAATATGTATATACCTGTGATTGCTTTGTGGAACAGAGACCTGAGCGGTATTTCTATAGCACGTCATCTTAATTTGGGGGGAGATCCCAAGATGAAGCAGATTGTGAAAATATACCACTTTCCTCAAGCATAAGTACAGTGCTCTCAATCATATTCAGACACATTCCATCCTAAATCGTCCAAGGGGACCGTGAAGATCCCGGGTAGAATAGGTCTTCAGCAACCCATGCTTGCAATAAAAGGTGACTGTGTTTGTTTAAAGAGCAACTAACAGGATGGGATGGTCAGGCTTGCTGACTTTGTTGATGCATGTCATCATATCCCAAATAGAAAGATCAATGCTCTTGATATCAATCACTGGATTGTCTGGTCCAGACATGTTTATTTACAGACAGCCGTCTTACAGCTGGAATATTGCTAAGTGAGGCGTTAAACAACAAACAAATAAAACATCTAAGGGACGTAACTGTGCACAGCGAGTTCGTAGCCCATGCAGTTGAGCTCTTCATAAAATCTTCCCTTGGCCTTAAGATACCTTTAGAATTAGTCTTGATTGTTATTTTGTTTATGATGGTATTGCTTCTTCTTTGCCTATGTCTATTTTAGACACATTTCTTTGTAGAGATTGTGCATGTTATTAATGTTCAGTTATCATTGAATGTATAGTTTCTGTTGCCTTTAAGTATACTTTTGAGGTCATGAGGAAATATAACATTTATTAATGTGTAAGGCATTTTTTGAGACTGTGTACAGAAACACAGACTAGGGATGGAATATCTCTGTCCTATACTTCAGAATAATAGGAGTCAGAAATATAACAGAAATACTGCGATTTAAATTTGAACTTACTCAGAAAACAAGGAAGGGATTGTTAAGATCCATGGTTGACTGGATCCTGAAGACTGACTTGACACAGTAGAATTCGTGACTAACTCAATTACTTTGGGGCAAGCCGAATAGCAACTCATGCCCAACTCGTGGCCACTTTTGCGACTGGGTTCCATCTAAGCGCAAACAGGCATAGCTAAAAGAATTGTCAACTCGATGTGTAATGAATCCCCCATATATCATATATATTCCAGATGCTATTGAAAACACACCAGGACTTACGTTATTATACAGTACGATTGAACACATTTATCTAACTGTATCTGGGGTATATTTTAAAATGCAAGACATATGTAAAATCAAAACTTATTCCTGGGGAAATCTTTGACCGAGGTACTTGAAGTCATACGTGCATTCTGACTGGTTTTTTTTCGCACATAAGATTCAGCGAAAGGGGGACAAGTCTTCTTGCAGGTTGCGGAAAGGGGCGAGTGGTGACGAATGACTTAGTAGAAGAGTCAATGAAACTTCAATACCTGGGGTTATTTAAATCAACTTGAACAAATTAACTCCTCTCCTGATGCTGATATTTCAGTGGAGGGAACAAAAGGAAGCTCAGCACTGCTATCGCTCTTATTGGTAACCCACCAATCATATTTCTGGATGAGCCAACAACAGGTATGGATCCTGTCGCCAGGAGACTGTTATGGGATGCCTTGGCAACAGTACGGGACAGCGGGAGGACGCTGGTACTCACATCTCACAGGTGAGTCCTGAATACCTCATGTGTGACCTGGCTTATTGGGTACCACCTCTCCACAGTGACAAGGTTGGGTACTCGTACTATAAACCACTGGTTTGCCTAACCCAGACTCAGTAGTGTACCAGCTACTTGTCGTAAAAGGCAACTAACGGGATCGGGTGGTCAGGCTCGCTGACTTGGTTGATGCATGTCATCATATCCCAATTTGCGTGGATCGATGTTCATGATGTAAATCGCTGGATTGTCTGGTCAAGACTCGATTATTTACAGACCACGGTCATATAGACTCATATAGCTGGAATTTTGCTGAGTGCAGCGTAGGACAACAAACCAAAAACCAAAGCCAGTAACAGTTTTAACAAGATGATGTTTATGGGTTGTACTGTAAACAGAGTACAAATTGTTCACACTCTAAACCGAAAATAATTACATTTAGTACTAACTACTAAATGACTTTATCGCGCGTATCCAAACGTCCGTAACCCAATCACCCCTCGTAACTCAATCACCCCGGGTCACCACTCTGCACCGTGCCCGAGGAATATTCCCGCGTGAGCATCATCCCGCCTTTTGTTAGTCCATCATTCGCGGACAGTCCTTCTTCAAGTACACACGCGTTCACTGTATCTAATCGCTTTCGCTTTGTACGTTTCCTTTGTACCTTGTACCGTTTCGCCGATTACGCTTTGTATACCATCTATTCCAACACTCGCCGTATCGCATTTACACAATCGCGACCGTTTCGCCGATTACGCTTTGAATACCACCTATTTCAGCACTCTCCGTATCGCATTTATTCCGTTCTACTCTCGAACTTCATCCTCGGGACATTTTTACACTTGTGGAATACCGACTCACCACCTCGACCTTTCGTGATGCCTCCCAAGAGAAGAGCAGCGTCAACCACAAGCTTGTGAGGGGAGCCAAGCAGGCCAGGACAACCAGAAGACAAACCCCGGGAGTACACATTATGCAGGAGGCAACAGCTGATGGTGAGTCTTCCAACTACGGAAATATCGAAGGTGGCAACAGAATTAACATGCAGTCGGCGCAGCTTGTAAATGCCGGCTACCCAGGTAAACGAGCAACTGGAAAAAATACTCCCGGTTAGCGCAAACCAACAGGTAAGGCTTGGTTTTAGTTCTCCCGCCATTTCGCCCAACATAGGGAGAATCCCCGATGCGCACAACGAGGCCGACGGTGACGCGGCTTGGCCAGCCAATCAGAACGCAGGATACGGGGATTCCCTATCCTTCCGTGCGGATGGAATAGACGCGCACGTCAAACAACAGGTGAGGGAAAAAATCTGGCGTGGCGAGTTTGTCGACCTCGGCACAATCCTACCAAACACCGAGGGAAGTCACGAGGACGGTACGATTACCATGGCGTACGACTCCTCAGGTAAGATAATTTTTAAACCAATAAAGCAGCAACCAAAGCGCCTGTCTCTGGCAAGCTGGACTTCAACTTTCCACATTTTCATGTATATCTATGTTAGTAGGCACTCCGAGGTCCGCACAACCCAGGGGTTGCTGTCCTACATGGAAACCATAAGAACGGCGGCACTTCGATTCGGGGGGGGGGGGAAGCCTGGTCAACCTACGACCAACAATTCTGACACAGAATGTCAAGGGACCCCTCACGACGCTGGGACAACATCGACGGGGAGTTGTGGCTGAAGTACATGGTCACACAGCCGCTACGACAACCAGAATCAGGCGGCCGGGGCGCAATGACACGCGTACAAGGGGGACATCGCCAGTCAGGTATGCTGGGATTTCAATAAACTTGGTTGTAGCAGGGTCAACTGCAAGTACACTCACAAATGCAGTAAGTGTGGCAAACATTCCCACAGATCTAGGACCTGCTTTCGAGGGAATGGGGTACAACCGACCCCATACAAGCCCAATCAGCCTTTCCCTAACAGAAAACCAGCCGTCAAGGCAGGTAAATTCAATGGCCCCTTCCCCCGTGGATCTCAATGAAATGGCACACTGGTTACGCCAATATACTAGGGTCAATTACAGAGATGCAAATTATTTATGGGTAGGTTTTAGCTTTGGCTTTAAGCTCGAGTTCCAAGGAAGCCGCATGGGTCGCCTGGCACGAAACTTGCGATCAGCCAAGACACGGCAGGCTACGTGAAACAAAAACTACAAAAGGAAGTCGACCTTGGCAGGATGGCGGGCCCCTTCAAGGACACCCCCCTGGACAACCTCCAAGTATCCCCAATAGGCCTGGTGCCCAAGAAGCAGCCAGGCTATGGTCAGCATCTGGGTAAGCATGCGGAGGAATTCCGTCTAATTCACCATCTATCCTATCCCAGGGGTAAATCTATAAATGTCTTCATAGACACAGAGGCCTGCTCCGTTGTGTATGCCAGATTTGATGAAGCTATTCATATGGTTCAACAACTGGGAAAGGGAGCACTACTAGCAAAATTCGACATTCAGTCGGCCTTTAGAATTATACCAGTCCACCCATCCGATTTCGAGCTACTAGGCATCAGATTCGAAGGTGAGTTCTATTTCGATAAATGCTTACCATTTGGCTGCTCCATATTTGAAACGTTTAGCACCTTCTTGCAATGGTGCATGCAATCACATCTTCCAACGTGTCAGATCATGCATTACCTGGATGACTTCCTAACGGGGGGCACAGCAGGCACCAGCCACTGCTCAGACAACCTCAACGGATGCGTGAATACACTGGAACAGCTTGGGGTCCCTATTGCGCACGACAAGACGGTGGGCCCCACGACCAAACTGACATTCTTAGGGCTGGAAATCTACACCAATGCAATGCAGATCAGAATCCCAGAGTCGAAGATCAAGGAGGCGACAAGGGAAATCCAAGACATCCTGTCAACAGGTAACATCAAGGTCACAAAAAGGGTCCTTCAGTCCCTCATAGGCAAGCTTAACTTTATGTGCAGGGCTATACCAATGGCAAGGGCATTCAGCCGAAGGCTAATCGATCTGCTTAGCAAAGGTAAGCAACCATTTCACCACATTAGGATTACCAGCTGGGTCAAGGAAGACCTACAAATGTGGTTAACATTTCTTACGAGTTATAACGGCATTTCAGTGTTTCAGGACCAACTATGGGTAGACAGCGATTTCCTCCAGCTGTTTTCAGACGCAGCGGGTGGTGCCGGCTTTGGGGCCTACATGCAGGGCAAATGGTTTAACGGCGCATGGCCAACCCAGTGGGTGACGGATGGAACTACACGGGACTTGACGCTCTTGGAGCTGTTCCCCATCACACTGGCCATCCAACTTTGGGTCAAGCAACTCGCAAACAAAAAGGTCCTCTTTTACTGCGACAACCAAGCCGTCGTAGAAATAATCAACAAACAGTCGACCAAGGCCCCCAGAGTAATGAGCCTACTCCATCGCCTAATCCTGCAGTTCCTCCGATATAATATTATGTTTAAGGCAAAGTATGTATGTTCCACTGCTAACACTATTGCCGATGCTCTCTCGAGGTTTCAGCTCAAACGCTTCCAAGAGGCAGCACCAGCCGCGGACCAGAACCCCACACCTATCCCGTGCAACATATGGCTGATCTGAGGCAGGAACCCGGCAGACTCCTACAACAATCCCTGTCTACAAATACATGGGCCACTTACCAAACAGGCATCAATGCCTTGCACCAGTTCCGGTCCACACACCAGCTACAAGAGGTGTGGCCAGTCCCGCTGGATCAGGTCGTAAACTTTATTGCTTATCTGTCAGTAACTCACAACCCCCCTAACACAGTCAAGACTTACATTGCAGCGCTGTCTTCACACCACAAATTCCACGGGCTCACCGACTGTACAAACCATTTCCTGGTAGGCAAGATTTTAACAGGCCTACACAAATCAGCGGGCCGACCAGACACCAGAAAACCGATCACTGCAGATCTGCTGCAGGTAGTAACCAGCAATCTGCCTCACGTATGCTCATCAGCATATGAAGCCAGACTGTTCAAGGCAGTCTACTGCACAGCGTTTTTGGCGAAACCGCATTATCAGTGGTTCGAGTGTCAAAGGGAGCTAACTCTAAATATACATTGGAGCTATGCTGTTTAGTTACGTATCCGAGAAAAAACATGGCGCTGTGAAAGCGATAATCTGTTCCGCCTGTCACTTAGTTCATCATTAAAACTGCACAGGGTATTCTATTTAGTGAATCATTCCCATCAATACGAACAACAGTAGTATGACTCACGATTGTTACAAGTTTATGTCAACATTACTGAATTGTGGATCACTTACTAGCTGGTTATAAGAGGGTAACAGATGTGGGCCCACATTTCGGAGGGACTTTCTTACTGAAACACTCAGCATCTTGTGGTGTGGAACAAATATCTGAGACATGAAAGGTAGGCCATTTCATAATCCTAGTCATCTTATTAATTGAGGATAATTGTAGATATCACCAACGAAACTGTATGCGTCATGAATGAAAACCGAAATGTGGGCCCACTTTTTTTTATATCTATATAGAGATTTTTCTGAGTGGGCCCACATTTTAAAAAATGTGTAAATCAATACAATTCTTACCATTAATTTTTTTTATTTTGACCGTAGTAATAAAACAGAAAGACAAATGAGCTCACCTTCAAAACAAGGCGATAGAGTGAAAACAGAAATGTGGGCCCACTTTTTTTTTATCTCTATAGAGATTCTGATGGGTGGGCCCACATTTTAAAAAATCAGTAGATCCACAAATCTCACCATATTAAAACTAATCTATTGACTGTAGTAATGGAACTGTTGTTATGAAAAAGAATGACAAATGATATCACCAACGAAACTGTATGCGTCATGAATGAAAACCGAAATGTGGGCCCACTTTTTTTATATCTATATAGAGATTTTTCTGAGTGGGCCCACATTTTAAAAAATGTGTAAATCAATACCATTCTTACCATTATTTTTTTATATTTTGACGGTAGTTATAAAACAGAAAGACAAATGAGCTCACCTTCAAAACAAAGCGATAGAGTGAAAACAGAAATGTGGGCCCACTTTTTTTTATATCTATATAGAGATTTTTCTGAGTGGGCCCACATTTTAAAAAATGTGTAAATCAATACCATTCTTACCATTATTTTTTTATATTTTGACGGTAGTTATAAAACAGAAAGACAAATGAGCTCACCTTCAAAACAAAGCGATAGAGTGAAAACAGAAATGTGGGCCCACTTTTTTTTATATCTCTATAGAGATTTTTCTGAGTGGGCCCACATTTTAAAAAATGTGTAAATCAATACAATTCTTACCATTATTTTTTTTTATTTTGACCGTAGTTATAAAACAGAAAGACAAATGAGCTCACCTTCAAAACAAGGCAATAGAGTGAAAACCGAAATGTGGGCCCACTTTTTTTTTATCTCTATAGAGATTTTTCTGAGTGGGCCCACATTCTAAGATCTGAGTAAATCTACTAGTCTTACCTTTCTAAATGAAAGACCATCACAGTAAGTAAACACAAACACATTCTGAAGATTATAAACTGACATTTTATTACCCGGTAATTCATAACAAAACAAAAGGACTCAACATATCATTTCATCCAAACATGTGACATCAGTAGCAATATAACAATGACATTCAGATCATTTAGTATTTGTCATCACAATAGCAGCTTTTGATGGGAACTCTGTTTCATTTTATCTTTTCAAATATGAACTCACATGTCAGCGTCCTCAATACACATTGATATTTACCTTCCACAAATATTTTAATTAGATAGAAACAGTAACAAATTCTATAATGTCACAAACAAAATACCCAGTGTGGGTATTTTAATGGGAACAAAATTCTAATCATGGTAATGAAAATTTATTTATGAAACACTCACCCACACGTCATTTCTATCACGGTTAGTTTCACCAGAACTATTTAAACAGGAACTATCTGACATATCAGTGGCAACACCAGCATATAACATGTCAATCTCAGGAACGTTTAAGAATAACAGTTTAAAAACAAAACAACATACAATGATTCTGCACTCTGTCATGATTATCACAATGATTGAGTTTGATATTGATGGAAACAATATCATATTTCACACTGAATACTGGAAACACAATTTAGGCAACTTGAATCATCTGCACAGATGATGAATAGAAATCTTTGTAGCACTATCTGTCAAACTATTGACATACATGTGTCCTTCATGATACATGTATGTTTGAATTGTCAAGAACATCACAAACATTGTAAAGGGTAACAGTGTCACAATAACTGATGCTATGTTCATATGAACTTGATGGAAACATTTCTATATTTCCAAGCACAATGGGCAAATTGATAAATGAGATAATCAGTAGATTACATTCTCATCAAGAGATCAGAATTGATCAAATTGGTTCATTCAAATATTCATACAAATTTGTAGTATTTGTTCATAAGGCCAAGCATGAGGGTAAACATACATTCATTCTTGTTGTTCCATCGAAACATAATCTCATCAAGATGAGCAGCTAACTGTTCTCTTGGGACACCATGCATTGACTTAAACTTTGCCTTTGCATTGCCCCAAAATCCTTCAATGGAGTTGGTATGGGCCCCAGTTTTGGGG